TAAATTCAATTTTGCAATTATACAATTTTAACTTGTTGTCATGGATTAAATCTCCAACCGTGGATTTACTTTGTTATTAATTCATTGCCATATATCGTAATTTCGAATCATGAATTAAGATGGTGTTCGATGGAGATCGACATAGTTAATTATGTTCAAAAATCCAAATAGATAACTATATTAGTTAACTATATATATTTTATTTAAAATTAAAATAGGTAACTATTTTTATAATAGTAGTCAACCATGTATGTATAACTATTTTTAATTATTATAGCTATGAACGTAGTTGACTATATTTAACTCTTATAGCTATGAACGTAGTTAACTATATTTGTTTAAATAAGTAACTATCAGAACCAAAATTTTATGTAGCTAACTATGTCATGAAATCAGTAGAGTAGATAACTATGTTTTGAAAATAGTTAACTATATTTTTAACAATTAAATTAGTAACTATTTTCTAAAAAATAGCTAACTATGTTTTAGATAGTTACAAAATAATGTGAAAATAGTATGAGATAGTTAACTATCTTTTGAGACAACATAATATGTAATTTCAAAATAGCCAACTATGTTTTTTGTGACCCAATTTTTTTTTTTTTGCAGAGCATAATGCTTTAAAGGCAATTTTCCAGATATAGAAATAGAATAGTTTTGGGGATTGTTTTTCACATTCACTTTAATTACAGTTGAAATTTATTGATTATTTTTAACCACTTTTCATTATAATGTAATTAAATGTATTTCTGTTCAATTGGATCAACAATTTGCTACTCACCTAATTAAGATTTCCAACATGTTATTCAGCTAATTACATGTCCAAAACATAATATTTACCTAATTAACCCAAACTATGAAAATAGTAGAAATTAAGAAAGTAACTATAAGAATCTGTAAATTAGGAAAATAACTAAATTCGCTGCAGCAAAAAGGAGCGTAATTACGTTTAACCCCTTTCTCTCTCTCTTTTGTGTCTAACGAGCATTAGATGTCAATAGTTTTAAGATTTTTCAATCTATACATATAATCACATCTGCATATTATAGAAAATATTTTGTTACTTTTATGTATTAATCTAATCGGCGAAAAAAAGAGAGCGAGGGACATTTTTTCGGAGAAGTAGATTTATGCTAAAGGTGACTTGTAGATTGCCAGCGAATTCGACTTCGGCGTCGTTGGAGATGGTGTAAAAGGGTCAAGAAAGACTGGTGGTGAAACGTCCGACCATAGAAGAGAAGAAAGAGAGTGTGGAGGAGAAAGAACAACGACAAGAACAGACAAAGTCGTTGGAGAAAATAGGAAGGAGGGTTTGGGAAAAACACGCTTTTTAATGCAATGATACGAGCAAGGTTAGATATTGAGAGATGAAGATCAGCAACGGATAACTTCTATATGTAACCATAAGATATTTGTTTACCGGATAAAATTTATGTTATCATCTAATATAATTGGCACATGTTTTCTTTTTGGTCAACAATTGTTACATGTCTAACATGTGATATTCTCGTATAAGTTACTTCTTTTTTGGATATATGAAAAAAATGATATGTTTACCGGATAATATTTATGTTATCATATAACAAGTGATATTCTCGTATAAGTGAAAAACTTGGACTCTTGGTTCTGGGTAATATTATTTCTATCATCTAATATAATTGTCATCTATGAATTGGATGTTTATATTAGACAATGTTATTGTGGCAAACCAGAATGTGCTTGATAGACTCCTCGTAAGGATCTATGCCCAACGAACGCCTTTCGTATGGTTGTAACTCGAACGGATGTAGATCGGCATGATTGATGCGGAAATGATGCGGTTAAACTTGTTGAGGTTCGGTTCGAGACAGCGGATTTACTCGAACGAACTCGACGAGAATGGATCGAAGGGGTTTGATGGATGAATGATGGTT